AAAGACCTTGCAGACCTGGGAGTATCTGTGAGATGGGTGAGCTGGGGATGAACCAGAAGCATCCCTGCTTGAGTGAATCATCCCTTTTCCCATCTTACTTGCCCCTGCCTCGCTCCCCATGTCAGTGCTCAGTGTGCTGCTTGCAGGGGTGCTGCCCCACCCTGGACTGTGTTTCCCGGGGATGCCTTTGGGTTCACTCCCCAGGCAGGAGGGTCTCACGGTGCTCAGGGGCTGAGCTGACCTCTCTGGGTCAGGATTCAGCCTCTGGTAGACAGGCCTGATCCTGCATCCCTTACTCACGTGAGCAGTCGTCTCCATTTCAAAGGGACTACTCGGTGAGTAAGGATCGCAGGATTGGGACCACTACCTGGCACTTAAACTGGACCTTCTGTGGGATCCTGGCCCCAGCCTTTTCCTGTGCAGGGATGCTGACATGCATCGAGAGCTTCCAGAACTGCTGGGGCTCTTGTCATTTGGATGGAGAACCTGAGAGCTGGAAGAAGCAGTGCCCTTGCACTTCAGAGGATAAATCACCATTATTTTCCATCCTCTCCTGCCAAAGAGCTCCGAGCCCAGCCAGCTTCTGTGCCACAGAGCAGTGTGTACCTGTTTGTCTCCCAAGTGTTGCTGTTCCTGGCTTCCCAGAGCTGGCAGGGCTCTGCTCTGCCTCTCTCTGGTTTTCCCAGCTGTAGCTTTGAGTTGAGAGCCTGGGATTCTGTTTAAGCCTGATTTGTGCTGCAGAGCTGGAGGATGAAGCGGGGGGAGAGATGAGCAGTGGTGGTGCTGAGACTGCCACAGACCTTCCTGTGCCCCTTGGTTTCTCCTCCTGCCTGAACGGGCTAACTTTGGAAACCTCTGCCCTGTGCTAAGGCTTTGAATGCGTTCTCAGTCGGAGGTGTCAGTGCCTGTGAGCCCGTGCGGGGTGGGAGCAAGGAGGGAGGCAGGTTTGAGGGAGGCAGGTTTGAGCTGCACGAGGGAGGCAGGTTTGAGCTGCACGTTGATGTTGATGTCTGCGTGGCCCTGGCCGGGGGAGCCGCCTGGGCCCTTCCACGGGCCGGCTTCTCCCTCGCGTGGAACGCGCTGGTACCGCACCCCCTGCGCCCGGGGTGGGGGACACACCCAGCCAGCTCCACGGCTGCCCAGATTGTCCTAAGGGAGGAGATGGTGTGAGAAGCGCTGTGAATTCACTCCAGAGAGAGTCACGAGTTTAAGCAAGCAGGAGGCAATTTATGGTTGTTGGTCCCTTTTGAGAGCTGGAAGTGGAAGCGTGGCATGAGTCACACAGTGCTTCTTGGGAAGCACGAGGCACTCAAGTGGAAGCAGGGAGCACAAATGCCTTTGAAATGGAATTTGATAGATTTCTGGAGGGATTAGGTGACAAAACAGCAGTGATCCTTGAGCGGAAATTAAAGCTTGACCTGTGGGGTAGGTAAAAGAAAAGACAAGATCTGGTTGCTGTGTGGATTGTGCTTGTGGCACTGAATGTACGGGCTATTAATCCTGTGCTTTGGGATTTCTTCATCTCTGCTCTGGTATCTTGCTTTTCCTTGAGCATCAAAGAATGAAACCTGGCTAAAGTGTCAGGGCTCTGATGCTTCCAGTAGCGACTCACATGGAGCTTGCAAGTTCAAGGTTAAATTAATCATCAGAGTTTAGATCAGCAAGGCATTTTCCCTTGGATCAGGCCAGCAGGAGCCTCGGGGTGAGTGTGCAGCTCTGCTGGTGATGGAGCAGCAGAGTTCAGACCTCGTGGTACCCGTGAGATTCATCCATCTGAAGTCAGCACTGACTTTCCATGGAGTGGGAGAGGAGGCAGCAGGAGAAGGTGGGAACTAAGTCGTGGAAATCCCCAGCTCTGCACCTGCAGGGAAGATATCTGCAGTTCCTCATCTTCCATTGCCTGGTCCAGGCTGGGAGTGGTTTTACTGCCTGCTGCTGCTGCTCCTGTTCAGCTGAGCAAACAGCTCCTCTGGAACTGCCCTTCCCGTCATCCTAGAAAACAGCCAGGAAGAAAATTTCCCTTCTGTGGGGAATTCTGAAAATAGCTTTGTCTGCTTCAGAGTTAAAAACATAAATGCTGTTATTCCATGGCTCTGCTGCCCCTGCCACGCCATGGATGTGCAGTTTCACAGCTGCTCTGCTCAGGCCAGCCTGGCTGGGTGCATCCCTGGTGCCACCCTGTTCCTGTTGCTCAGCTCTGTGCCGCTCAAGAGCGTGTCTGGATCAGGCTGAAGATTTTTCCTTCCATGGCATGCTCCTTGTTGATCACCAGGGATGGAGCCTGAGCACTGCAGCCCCTATGACTTAGCATATCTGCCAGAAACCAGCTTCCCTGTGGGTGGAGGGCCTCTCTCTGCTGTCACAGTGACAGAGAAGAGCTGGTCCCTGAGGTGGGATGATGCACCCCAAGCCTGTGCTGCCCTTGCTGACTGTTTGGCAGGGTGGGGCTCTGCTCTGACAGTCAGAAACCTGGACTTCCCACTTCACCCCTGAGTGCTGCTGCTAACACCTACCTGCAGAGAGGCTTAGAGGTGCCAGTGCAAGAGAACATGGTAGGTTTTGCTCTAGATATTGAAAGGGCAAAGATTTTCCCTGCTGAGCTCTGCTGCTCAGGCCCGGTGTGCTGGTTTTCCTGTCTTGAGGATGTCATACACCTGATTTGTTGTTGGAGGAGCAGGCCAGGTTTACACTGGGCATTTCCAGGGGCTGTGTGGAAAGAGAGGGGTGTGATCAGGACAGGGGCAAAACAAGAGTGGCTCATCTGTCTTGGGGAAGTTTGCACAGACCAGCCTGAGCCAACAGCTCCGGGAGTGTCATGGGGCACATCTGAGGGACATGAACGAGTCTGTCATTTATGGCTTGGTGACTCTGAGGAGGCAAGATGACCATCTCTAGGAGGGACAGAAGAGGCTGAGTCTGGACCAGTTGACTGTCCTTCATCATTTTGGAATCCATTGCATTGGCCACTCAGCCTTAAGATGCTCTCTGTAGCCAAGACTACTCTTCTGAGTTTCTTTTCCTAATCTGCCCTCCCTGACTGCCCGTCCTGAGAGCATGCATGATGTGTGAGAGCTTAAGGCACTCAGGAGACAGTAAGTTCCTTGTTCCTTTGCACTGTCAGCACAGCTCCTGGGGCCATGAACAACACTGTGGTTTTGTCGTAACTAAATCATTGTTGACTTCATCTGTGATCCCAGCTCAGAGGAATGCTCTGATTTGGTGCAGTGGGCTCTGGGGACACAGCACATCTCCATGTGCACTTAGAGGATACTTGTGGTTGGTGGCCGTGTGGCCTGTGGCCCTCAGACAAGGGTTTTCCAAGCCATGAAAATCATGGGGGCTGGAGAAGGTTTGCTCGCAGCTATTGTGGTTTCTGGTGTAGAAGGACTGGTGTGAAACCTGCTGTTATCTCCCGTAAGATGCCTCTCTGGTGAGCCACAAGCCACTGCTCGTGCTGCCCATTGCAGGCAGTACCGGCACTGCTCCTGCCCCCGTCGAGCTGCAGGCCCCAAGCTGAGTCCTCTGGCCAGGAAAGCAAGGATGAGCTGTTGGGAATCTAGAAAGGAAAAAAAGGTGTCATGAGCATGGCTTGACCTGCCACTGGGCTGGGAGACCCATGAGGGCTGTCAGCTCCCCGAAGAATGGAGCAATACTGCAGAACAGGGGCAGAGCTGCCAAACAGGGACGTGTTCTGAGCAGTGGCAATTCCTGCCACTCCTGGATCTCAGTCCAGGCCTTCTGCTGCATGCAGAAACAACTGGGGGCAAAACCCAGTGCGTGTAATTTAAGGATACTGCTGGCAGAGCAGGGTGGTTTGGAGAAGGGCTTTGTGCATGTGGTATAACAGCTGCTGTATGTTGGGAGTTTTCCTGCTCTGGAAGTGTTTCCCAGTTCTCCTCCATTTATTTTTCTCAGCCTTTAGGACCTTGTGCCTGTGATGCTGCCTTCCCTCAGCTTGCAGGGTGGCAGCATAGGGAAAGCACTGGGGTTTTTCCCCTTTTCTTTCCTTTTTTTCAGCATGTGGTATATATTTCTAAGACCTTTCCTCTCTCAGCTGCCCCGAGGCTTCGGGCCACCGGCCCTTGCGTGACTCAGCACGTTGTAGCAGAACCTGGTTCAGCCAGCCTTGGGGTGCGGGGTGGAGGCACCAGGTGGTGGCCCAAGGGTGACCAGTGCAGACCCTGCAAGTCAGGTGCTCTGTGGAGCCAGTGCCACAGACCTGCAGCTCCCAGAGGAGCAGTGGGAGCTCTGGGAGCAAGGCAGGAGCATGGCTGAATGTGTCCTTCCCACTGGTGAGCAGAGCTGCTCAGGAAGCCATTTAGCAAGGGACAGGTTCCTCCAGCAGCACCAGTGCCGTCATGTCCTGTCACTTCATTATACATGCTGTGGTATTACCCCCCCAGCTGGTTCCCATGGCTGCACAGAAAGGTGGAAGGCAGATCTTATAGGTAGGGTCAGAACTCAGACTTGAAGTTTAAATTACTTCTGTGGTGTGCTGGGTTTGTCTGCTTAACAAACACGCAGATACTTCCTTGTTCTGAAATGTCTTCAAAGCTTTAGTGGTTTTAAGGTCCAGAATACATCTGGTTTGCTATTCCAATTGGATTCAGAGATGAGGCTGCAGTTGAGTGTGGACAACAGATGGACCTGCACCGTGTGGAAGCAGATCCACATCAACCAAGACTGCGATCTGGGGGCTACGTTTGGGCCCTGCTTTTTGGGAGCTTTTTGGACCCCTGCGACCTTCACCCACACGGCCATAATCAGCACGTTTTGCTGAGGGCAGGTTTCCTCCAGCAAACCTTTGTCCGGGCCGCGTCAGGCAGGATATCTGATGAAATCCCCAGCCGAATGAGCCCATCTGTCAGGCGGCGTCGGGCTCGTGGCAGGGACAGCATCCGGTGCGTGGCAGCCCCTCCGCGGACACTGCGGCGACACCGCCGCCGGCCTTTGTCCTGTCCTGCCGCAGGCTCCTCCCGCGGCACAGGCGGAGGCAGGAAATCCCGGGCAGCTGCCTGGGAGCCTTCCCTCGCCTCTCCTCTCCTCGCTTCTCCTGCTCGCCTCGCCTCGGCACCGGGCGAGCCGAGCCAGCCCCGCGTGTGTGTGCACGCGTGGGCGGGGGGGCTGCCGCATGGATTTGGCGGAGGCTGGCAGGGAACACATGGGTTGGGGTTCCGTGGCTGGCCCGCGGTGGCTGTCCGTCCGTCCGTCCTGCCAGCCGCGCTCATGGACGCGATCATCCTGCAGGAGCGCCTGGTGGAGCGGCTGCTGTCCCCCCGGCCGCAGGCACCGCGGAGCCAGCCGGGCCGGCTGAAGGTACGGGCTGTATTTATAGCCCTGCGCGATCCGGGGAGCAGCGGGACACGGGGGGGGAGGAGGAGGATGGTGCCCGAGCAGGCGTGTGCGGCACAAGATGAGCCCTGTGAGGAGCGGAGGAGCGGAAAGGCGGCGGTGAGGGAGGGATGGCGGCGGCAGGAGGGAGGGGAGCATCCCCCGCGGGAGCGGGGCCGAGGGGCGAGTGGCGCAGCCGGGAGATGGGCGACCTTTTTGTTTGCTGGTTTGCTGCGGGGATTCCCTCCGTGAATGGCGTTTGTGCGCTTGGGGGGGCTCAGGGCGGGAGTCGGCGCTGTGTGCCCACACGCAGTCCGGTCTGTATTAATTAGCAGCGCGTTAATGCTGTGCTTTGCTGGCCCGTGTTCCTTCTCTGCAGCGAGTGCTGGTGGGCGAGTGGCTTTGCCGAGGCTCCGCTCTCAGCCCAGGCCCGAGGCGGCAGATGTCCGCGGCAGATGCCCCGAGGGCTGTTTGCCTTTCGGATTTATGCGGCTCTGTGCAGTGAAAGCAGGCGGAGGGTCTGGCTGTCCCGCGGGGCTGGGCTGGGCTGGGCTGGGCTGGGCTGGGCTGGGCTGGGCTGGGCTGGGCTGGTCCGGTCCGTGCAGGCTCGGCCGTGCCCGGCCAGAGGAAGGGCCGCTCGGGCCGGGGCTGGATGGCTTGTGCTGGAGGCTGTGACACCCACAGGCCCCTTCCCCTGAGAAGTGGAGCCAGAAGTACCAGGATCCTAGCACAGCTCCATCCTTCCTGGGATTTGCTCCAGACCCTGATAGGGGCTTTTCTTCAAATTTGTTGTGGTCCCATCATGTTTAATTTTAGCCCTTTTGAATATACCCAGGAAGGCTCCATTTATCCCCTGGCTGAATGGAGAAGTCACATGAGTCCTGAATTGTTTTAAAAAGCATCTCCACTAGAAAGGGGAGGAGGGTATTGGGAAGGACAGTAGTGATGGAGGCTGCGCAGCGTGCTCTGCCTTGGAGGTACAGACAGCACTGCCAACACCTCGGTACCAGGATAGCTTCTCCTCTGAGCCACAGACCCCGAATGCTTCTATCCCCCAACAGGAACAGGGCTTGAACCCACCGAGGCTCTGCTGCTTGGCTTGAGCTCCCAGGGAGAGCCCTGCCTGCCCGCCAGCCCATGGAGGATGTGAGGATGTGACATGTTGCTGTCACGTCCGGCGCACCGGGAGTGTGTGCTGGGGGACAGCACGGGCGTGGTTTGCTCGGCCTGCGGGGCTTTGGTTTGTGACAGTCCCCAGGATTGGCGCTGCTTCGGTGGCCTCTGCTGTGGCGCGTGGGGCACGTTGCCAGGCACGTGGGAGCGGGGTGCCAGCAGGAACAAAGGCAGCACCATGGGGCTGGCGGTGGGGACAGGGGCTCAGAATGCTGCTGGCTCGGCTGGCTGGGCCCTTTCCCGACAGCTGGAGCTGGCAAGGGGAGTGCGGTGCTGTGACCAGCTGTCCTGGCCTGTGTCAGCTTGATGGGAGCTGGCTTGTGACGAGGGGGCAGTCATGCCTCCAGGGACTCCCCCAGTCCAGGCCTCTCATCTGATTAATGAGTTTAGCTTTTCACAACCCAAAAAGCCTCCTGCCTCCTTCAGGAGCCCTCCCAGGCCTCGACATTCTCTTCAGTGTTCTCCATCCCACGCGCAGTTGCACTGCATATACTGCCCTTGCTGGGCCTAACGGGGGTAGTGAGTGGGGGAGAGCTTTGAGCAAGGCACACCCCGGGCTCAGGAGGATCCCTGGGCTCCTTAAGTGCTTTGTTGCTGGTGGCACACTGGCAGAGACAGTGGCACGTGCCTGAATACGGCTGGGATAGGAACACACAGTGGGGACCTCAAAGCCCTGCTGGAGAACTGTGGATCAAAGGCTGGCCGTGGTGCAGGGACCACACTGCTGCCCCTGAGAGAGGGCTCTTGTAAGAAGGGGATCCCTCCTCAAATTCCCCCTGATCTCTTGCCTTTGCCCTTGGCAGACACACTGGCCATCAGCCCCCAACGGGGCTCTGCAGTGAGTCCATGGCTGTCAGAGGGAGGCTTGGCTGAGGACAGGGCTTTTCCCCTTGCAGCTCTGGCTGCCTCCCACAGTGAGGGAAGCTCCTCTCTCGGTACTGGGCTCAGCACTGACCTTCCTTTCTGTGAGGGGAGTGACTGTGTGAGTCACTGGCAAAGGGCAGTGTCCATCACCAGCTGGGATTTGCTCATTTTGAAGGTGGTGGTTCCACCGAGCTATGGGGAGGCAGCCAGAGGAATGGTAAATCCATGTTGTCCTGGTTGGGCTGAACAGAAACGAGAGATCAGGTTCAGCCAGTTACACCTGGCAGAAGTAAGTGGAGTTGCACCAGAACTCAGCTCCCCAGAGTCTCCATTGCCAGCCCTTAGTCATCCAGGTTAAAACCCAAAGAAAGCAGGAGAAACAAACCCTGCACCTCAGCTCTGCTTTTATTAGCACAGAGTACTAATTCACATGTCAGGTCACTGGAGAGAGCAGGTGATCTTTGTCATTCCAAAGTCTGGTGAAGATCAGGGCAGGAGAAGCACAAAGGGAAGTATGTTGTATAGTTGTGCTGCTTGATGGGAAGTGCTGGACCTTCCAGTGTGAGGCCCTGGGCTTGAAGGCATCCATGGCTGAGTGGGAGCTGGGGCTGGTTTTGAGGAACTCCTGGCTCCGTGGATTTTTCTGTGGTGTGGATCCACAGGGTATGATTATTGTCAGTCATGTCTCTATCTCAGGCACTTGTGAGTGGCTGAGTGTGCTTGCACAGAGCATGGCCAGGCTGGTGGGGTGGCTGTGGGAGCGCAGTGACAGTGCTGTGGCTGGGGGTGCTTGGGCAGTGTAACACCCCTGCAATACTAAATGGAATATCCTCACCAAAAGCATCTCAGCTCTGTTATCAATATTTCCACATCTTCCCACTTCCCTTAAACTTCAGTCTCTTCAGAAATAACACGAGAGATTATTCAGGATTTCCTCTTACTCAGCCAGGAGTGGCTGTGACACAGCAAGAAATAATCCCCTCTCAGGTCAAGCAGAAGCTGAGCCACTGCACCTTCCTTTAGACACAGCTCAGAACACCACAAGCCCCGGGGTGCTAATTACAGAGCTCTCCATCACGGACCTGGTGTGCCTCTGGAGGGAGGGATGTAGAAATGACCTGGGGAGAGGTGGCATTTGGTGACCCTGCTGTGAAGGGTGCCCTCGACTGCGCAGGAGAAGCACAGAGAGGAAGGTTGTGTGTCAGCAGCAGCCCCAGAAGTGCTCTCTCCTGGGAACAGTGGGATGTGCTGTGTGTGGGAAGCTGCTGTGAGAGCAGCTGAGCAGGGCTGTGGCTGGGAGCAGGTGTCCCTCTGTGCCCACCTGGGAAGGGCAGAGTCCCTGAGCCCAGAGGAGCTGTGTGCCCCACACTGCAGCCAGGAGAGGGACTGGCCTCTCCTGCAGCCCCTGGCTCTGCCCCACGTGCTCTCTGAGTCCAGCTCCCCGTGGCTGTGTGACACTCCAGCAGAGAGGCTGGCACCCCTGACCTGCTGCCATCCCCCTGTGCCCGCAGGACCATGAGAAGCAGTACGTGGGCTTTGCCACTCTGCCGAACCAGGTGCACCGCAAATCCGTGAAGAAGGGCTTCGACTTCACCCTGATGGTCGCAGGTGAGACTGCCCATGGGCCACGGGGTGGGACCGTGGAGGGACCCAGCCCAGCTGTCCTCCCTTCCCTCAGGTGCTCCCAGAGTGCCTGGATCCTGCCCTTGCTCCACCCTGGTCCTTGTCTCAGGCCGTGCTTTCCTCCCCAGCCTGTGGCAGTTCCCCCAGGAGGAACCGGCCCCTCCTGACCCCACACAACTCAATCCAGCAAACTTCTCTGCCAGCACTGACTGCTCTGGGGGGGGAGGGCAGGGCGAGGTGGGGACCAAGGGAAGGGAAGGAGAGGGAAGGTGGGGGGGCTGGGAGATCACATTTGTACAAGGATTGAGACATCTTGCAGCAAAAGTCCTCCCACTGCTGGAAAAATGTAATGCCAATAAATAGCTCCTGACAGCTTGTCTCTCTCACTTCCTCTGGCTCGGGATTCAAAGCCTCATTCAGAGTTTCATTTGTAAGTCAATTAGAGGGTCATGTTGCTTGCTTCTTCCTCCTCCCCTTTGCGCTCTTGTCAATTAGGAGAGTCGGGTCTGGGCAAATCCACGCTGGTGAATAGCCTGTTCCTGACAGACCTCTACAAAGACAGAAAGCTCCTCAATGCAGAGGGTAAGCTGGGGACAAAGAGGGTGAATGGGACTCTCGTAAGGACTAGTACTTTGATTCCTTGCTTCAGAAGCAGCTACAGGCTCATCTGGATCCCAGCCCTCTTGTTTGTGGCTCTGCTCTCCTCTGTGTCTGCAGGCACTGCTATTCCAGCAGAAAGGCTTTGGCTGTAGGCCCCTTCTATCCTGTGAAGGGAAGATGAGGCTGCAAAGCAGCACTAACCCTTTGGGCTGAGATGTTCAGATTTGTCTTTAGTTCTTGGATGCTGGAGTGTGGTAGGGATTGCCCTTCCCCAGAGACTGGACCAAATGTTCAGAACAGCTGGGCTACAGGCACTCCAGAGGGCTGGGTATCTTTCTGGAGTCCGTCTGCCTGCTGCTGGCCTCCACAGTACCACTCCCTTGAGGCTCCTCAGAGGATGATTGGGGTTTTTTGAGAGCCATGTTAGTCCCTGTGCTGGGTGATAAGGAGGGAGTGGGCCTGTTCTGGGTGTGAGAGGGGATCCCCAGTGTTACTGCCTGGCTTTAACTCAGTGTTCCTGTTCAAAGAGAGAATCAATCAAACAGTGGAAATCGTCAAGCACACGGTGGACATTGAGGAGAAGGGTGTAAAGCTGAAGCTGACCATAGTGGATACCCCAGGCTTTGGAGATGCTGTTAACAACACTGAGTGGTGAGCAGGGCACTGCTGCCTTCCTTGTAGTCCTTGGCTTCCGAGTCTCTAGGAGACACTGTCCTGTTGAACTCATGGTTTTGTTTTGACTGACTTGCCCTTCCCAGCTGGAAGCCCATCACTGACTACATTGACCAGCAGTTTGAGCAGTATTTCCGTGACGAGAGTGGCCTGAACCGGAAGAACATCCAGGACAACCGAGTGCATTGCTGCCTCTACTTCATCTCCCCCTTCGGGCACGGGTGAGAGCCCACACTCCAGGCTGGAGAGTGACTCAGTCCAGAGGGAAGACCCTTGTGCCCCAGGATTGCCCCATAGCAGCCTGTCCACTGGCAGGGCTGTTGGCACAGGAGAAGAGCTGTGTGGATGCTCTCCCTGGGCTGAGCATCACACCACTCCCTGTCCCTCGCAGGCATGACAGGCTGCCTGTGATCAGGCAGAGCACATCTCCCTCAGGCCTTACAGCCTGTTTGGGAAATCAGAAGAAACAATTCCACGCAGACCTGCATGTTCCTATCTAGCTGAGCCTGAGTGATGCACAGGAAAGGGAGTTTTAGCTGCCTTCGTGCCTGCCCCTTGCTGGCTCACGTGTCAGCCTAGCCCGAGCAGTGCAGGGGCCGTGCCAGCTGCCCGTGGCACAGGACAGCTGGAGCGAGACCCCAGGCTGTGGCCTGGGCAGTGTTTGGCCTTCAGGGGTGCCAATACCCAGCCTGTGTCTCTGTGAGACATTCAGCAGCTGAAATTGGAGATGGCTTTCCTGAAGGTACAGCCCTAGCTGAGGGCTGTCCCAGTGCTGCTGCAGGCCCTTGTGTCGGTGCTGTCCTTTCCACTCTGTGCTCAGTGGGTGACAGAGGCTGCAGGGGGAGCTGCCCACTGTGTCCTTCCTAACTGTGTCTCTCCTCATCCCTGCTGCAGGCTGAGGCCAGTGGATGTTGAGTTCATGAAGGCTTTGCATGAGAAGGTCAACATCGTGCCCCTGATTGCCAAAGCTGACTGCCTGATCCCCTCCGAGATCCGGAAGCTGAAGGAGAGGGTGAGGTGCCCTTTCTCTGCAGGGTGTATCTGATGGGCTGGGGAGGGAGGGGAGATAGGTGGGTGTGTATTTATATGTATGTAGAGCTGGTTTGTGTGTATGGGTACATCTGTGCCCAGACAGTACCTGCAAATGTGGCTGCAGCAGTGCTCTGCTGTGAGAAGGGAAGGGGTGTCAGCAGAGAGGCCAACTCTAGCAGAAACATCAAATCCTTTTGCCATCTGTAGGCCATAGCAAACCCCTGGTAGCACAAACAGAATAAACCCAGTATTTCTGTGTTGTTCACTTTTAAATCCTTTTGGTTTTGTCTTGCCTGGACACAGATCCGGGAGGAGATCGACAAATTTGGCATTAAAGTGTACCAGTTTCCCGAGTGTGACTCCGATGAAGATGAAGAGTTCAAGCAACAAGACAGAGAGCTGAAGGTAAGGAACCTGCTCAGCAGAGGACTGGGAATTCAGACTCCATGGGTATGTGGGTTGCTCCAGAAGGAGCCAGAGCTGCCCTGTGTGTGCCAAAGGCCTGTGCTACCCAGGGAACAGCCTTGGCTCGTGGTGGGGGGCCTGGAGAAGGTGCAGATGTCCTTGCTGGTGCCATGAAGTCCAGTGTGGCAGGAAGACATGGCACTTCTGCTCTCCCTCCAGGCAGTGTCAGTCAGCGCTTCCTCCATCTACTCCAGCCTGTATATTTAAGATAAAGGCTGGGTTGTACAGCATTTCTAAGCACCTGTCTGTGGGTGATGCCATCAGCAAGGAGAGCTGCGAGTGATCAGACACCACTGTGACACACAAGGTGCATGGGGGAACACAGGATCATACAGGCATGTCTGGAGGCCCCAGCAGCCCGGTCCTGACCCCTCCCAAGCTGAGCCAGCCCTGTGAGTGCAGGAAGAGTGGCCTTGTTTCTCCTGTCAGAGGGGGCAATGGGCTTTGACTCCCTTCTGAGCAGAGAGGAGCACAGCCTGTACATTCTTGCCTGGACTTCCCCTACACTGTCCCCCTTGCTTGGTGTCCCAGCCTCTTTGCTCTGGCTTCCTTGCACAGCTTCCCTTCAGAGAAGGGCTGCAGGCACCTGCAGAGACACAGCTTCTCCAGGGCAGCTGAGGTCAGGCTGGGAATCGGGCTGCCTGTAGATCCCAGAGCCTGAGGCTTTTCCCTGCCAGCTGAGTGGTGTCCTGCTGGGTGGCACGTGTGGATATCCTCTCCCACCGGCACCTTCCTCCTCCTCCTGCTGTTCCGGGGTGCCTGACCTGGCCCCTGGAGGAGGGGCCGTGAGTGAGGGGCTGAGCAGTGCCTCTGGTTCCAGGAGAGCGCTCCCTTCGCCGTCATCGGCAGTAACACCGTGGTGGAGGCCAAGGGCCAGCGAGTCCGAGGACGGCTCTACCCCTGGGGCATTGTGGAAGGTAAGCCTGCAGCCTGGGAGCTGGCACTGAGAGGAGGGATGGCAGGGGAGAGCTGGGCTGTCTGTGCCGCCTTTGGCACGTGCAGGGCACATGAGACAGAGGCACCAGCTCAGGTGTGTTACTGGGAGTGAATAATAACCCTGCCATGATGGACTGAAGAGAGGCTCCAGTGTGAATGGGAAAATGCCTGGGCTTTATTGTGCACTAGGATTTGGCTTCTTATTAAGGGGGGAGGTATTGCCCGTTTAGATTCCAGGGAGAAGCCGTTGCCTTCAGCCAAACGATGCTAAACCCTCCTGCACTCCTTCCTCTGCTGCCTCTCCTGTAAGGGCTGGGGTTGCTGGGCTGGAGGCTGTGCTGATGCACAATGTGTTTGTCTCCAACTTTCTTCCTTTCTAAAGGGAGACATCTCATAAAGCCCTGGAATGGCTTTTGCTGCTGTTGCTGACTCCCCCGTGCTGGTTTGTTGCTTTTAGGCCTTGCAGCTTTAGATCCCAAAAGCCTGTGTGTGCACTCGAGGCTGGTGGTGCTGGCTGCCCAGCTGCTGGCTCTGGTCCCTTGCTGGCTCCGGAGGGGACTGGGCTGTTGGGATGCTGGCACTTGGCAGTAGGATCAGCTCTGTGAATGCCTGTGCCTGACACAGCTGGCTCCCCCAGCCCCGTGGGGAGGTGAAGGGAGATCACCGTGGCAGGCACAGAGCTTCCCACAGTGCTGTCTGCAGCCAGGCTCCCCATGGCAACAGCAGCTCTTTCAGCTCTCCCTCCCGCTCTTGGCTTTGCCCCTCGGGCTCGTTTTGTCTACAGGGGCCTTTTGGTAAGTCCTGAATTCTGATGGGACAGGCAGTTTGCTTCCAGCACCAGCTGCGCTCGCTGTGGTTACAGCAGCGACATCCCATGTACCTGGGATCCTCTCCCATGCTTAATTAATCCTTTTACCCAGGAAAAGTCCTGGGAACACAGGGACTTCAGCAGCCTGGCCTCAGCACTGGGAACTGCAGAGCACCGTGGAGGCTGTGCCAGGGCAGTGGAGGGGGAGGGTGGGGAGGATGAGGAGGGAGCCCTGGGGTGGGGATTTAGTGCAGCCTGGGTGCCAGGGCTTCCTGGAGTGAGCTGGTGGGGTGTGAGGTGCAAACACTGTCCTGTGTTGGTTCTCAGTGGAAAACCAGGCGCACTGCGACTTCGTGAAGCTGCGGAACATGCTGATCCGCACGCACATGCACGACCTGAAGGACGTCACCTGCGACGTCCACTACGAGAACTATCGGGCTCAGTGCATCCAGCAGATGACCAGGTGGGTCCCCCTGCAGTGGGAGGGCTGTCTCACAACAGCTCGTGGGTCAGAGGGCTGTGGGTCTGCTGGACGTGCTGGGCTGCAGTCTGGGCAGGGGCACTGGGGATGTAAGTACCAAATCCAAGCATGTTTCCCAGATTATTGCACTGGGTACAATACATCCAGCCTAATAAAATGGGATAAATCATCTCTGGTGACCGGTAGCTGTGTGCATTGCTGAAGAGGAAGGTGTTCTGCAGTTCTGTCCAAGTGACACTGGTGTGGTGTCTGTGCTGCCACTGGTGGGGTGTCTGTGCTGCCACTGGTGGGGTGTCTGTGCTGTCACTGGTGGGGTGTCTGTGCTGTCACTGGTGGGGTGTCTGTGCTGCCACTGGTGGGGTGTCTGTGCTGCCACTGGTAGGGTGTCTGTGCTGTCACTGGTGGGGTGTCTGTGCTGCCATGGGTCAGCAGAAGTGGCTGTGCCCCAGCAAGGAGCAGTCCCAGGTGTGCCGACGTGCAGGTTGGCACATCCTCTTGACACACAGTGCATCCCAGTCCTTTTGCATAGCAGACAAGCCTGTTTGTTTCAGCAGTGAGTATGTGGATCCCAAAATAACCATGTTAAATGCTAGAGCTGTGTGAGCAGTGTCACAGCTGCTGTTTAGGTGGGCTGTGTATCTATTAAAAGAAGAGCACGATGAAAAAGCAATTGCTAAGCTTAGGAGAAGCTTCAGTTTGGTGCCATTTCTCACACCGTGCCAGTGAACAAGTCTCATAAAACCAGAACAGGGCCCTGTCTAGAGAGTCCTTTTGGGAGCAGATCCCGAGCTCCAGGGCTGGCATTGTCTCAATAATGAGGCAGTGGGGACTCCAAGTGGTGAACGCCTGCAAGTTCCAATTTCAGCCCAGATGTCAGTGGCTATTGTCATCCCCTCCTCACCTACTGAGAGCTCCTCTGACTTTTGGAAGAAAGTCACGTGCTTTCTCCATCCCCTGCCTGCCGTTGTGTGCACCCCCAGCCCTCACAGCAACACTGCTGTGCCCTGCCTGTTTCCTGCCTCCCACCTCCTGAACAGAGGGCAGGCTTTGTTACTAGACCTGCAGCAATTGAACTGTTCCTCTGGTTTTATCTTCCTGGAGAAAAAAGGGTGATGGTGAGCCTGTGGTGCACTAGGGATGCTGCTGGTTCATGCTGATGCTACGTGATGTGCAGGCACACAGACAGAAGAGCCAGAAGAGGCTGGATAAGTTGTTTGTTAATATCTCTGCTCAGCTTGCCAATGCAATTACAAAAGGTGGTTAAAAATATCAGCCCCTTCTGTGTTTGCTCTCAGTGTAAACCTCTGGTTTGGATTTTCTGTTAGCTGCTCACACACTTGTATTTTGAAAACTGTCATTGCCTTTTCATCACATTTGTATCCAAAAATCCACACCTTTGGGCTGGATTGCCCCTGGCTGGGTGAGTGCTGCTGCATTGCTGGCTGCTCTGCCATGGGCAGTGACAGTCACTGTGTGGTGACACCAGAGCCTGCACCACGACTGACCACACTCCTCCCTCTCTGCATCTCTTCAGCAAGCTGACCCAGGACAACAGGATAGAGAGCCCCATTCCCATCCTGCCCCTGCCAACACCAGACACTGAGACAGAGAAGCTGATCAAGATGAAGGATGAGGAGGTGAGAGCCGTTTCTGCCTGTTCCTCCCTGGTGCTGGAGCTGGAATCGAAGGTGTCTCCAGTGTTGCCCCCCAGAGCTGTCCTGAGCCTGCCCAGTCCTGCCACTCCCGAGCTCCTGCTGCAGGACGGGTGTGACAGCTGGGGCTGCCTGTCAGGGAATGCAGCTGATTCCACCCCAGCTGCAGGTGCCCCTGTGCTCGTGCAGGAGTGAACCCTCCTGAGGGATCCCTTGGCCAGCTCAGGGGGCTGTCCCCAGCGAGGATCAGCGGTCCCTTCCTGACTCTCTCCTCTGTGTCTCCTGCAGTTACGGCGGATGCAAGAGATGCTGCAGAAGATGCAGCAGCAGATGCAGGATCAGTGAGAGGCAGGTACCCAGAGGGCAGAGGGAATCCCCCAGTGACCACCTGAGACCTGGCAAGAGCTGTGAACGTTTAGAAAAGGTTTCCTGTTGTACAGAGACTCGTGGGCAAGAGCTGCACCCGCACCCTCTAATTTATTAGCAGCATTGTTGGCTTTTTGGCCAGCTGGATTGTGGAGGAGGCTGTTCACTTAACAGTTTACTGAAATGTATTTCTTTCTTTTTTAATATGCTTTTGTTTCTTTTTTTTTTTTTTTTTTTTTTTTTTTTTTTTTTTTTTTTTTTTTTTTTTTTTTTTTTTTTTTTTTTTTTTTTTTTTTTTTTTTTTTTTTAAGAAACTAGCCTGGGAAGTCTCTAAGGCGTCCTAAAAATAAGAAAAGAAAAAGATCCCCCTTTCCCATGTACTAATCTCTTGTTTGGGAATGCTCTGGTATTTAAAGTCCTGGTTTCTCTGGTGTACAAACTTCAAGACTGTCTGTGTCAATGCACGTACGTGTTTACCCAGAACTGAGGTGCTGTGCCCTGTCCCTGTTCCCCTTGTCTGGGGCCAGCATTGCCAAGGCAGCCGTACCCTCCTGTGAGTCTGACCTGCTCGGGCTTCCCAGCCTGGGCAAAGCTCTGGCCACACAGCTGGGGCTGGGGGTTTCTCTGTGCACTGACCTGCTCAGGAGTACTGATGCTTGCCTGGTTTCCTCTCTAGGTTTTTATGGGTTTTTTGTTTAGTTGGTTGGTTTTGTTCTTCCTATCAAGAAGCTCCAGGATATTTGCACTGAGCAGCAAGGGACTGAGTCTCTCAAGGCTGGTTAGAAGAAAGTGCTTCTTCTGCTCCCAGTTATGCCTTTCTGGCAGAGGGGATGAGCTGTCTCTTCCCTGCAAGGACTTGATGGGAGTGAGCACCTCCACTGCCATGGTTTCCTTCCTTGGCAGGCTGGAGGTGTCGTAGATGAACCCCAGGGCCCTGCAGTAGCTGGGTGAGGGTATCTCTTGGTTCAGCTCTGGTCACCCAGCTTCATTGTCTGCTCTAAAGAGCACCGTGGCAGCCAGAGTGCTTGGTCAGGACTGCTTTGGAGGAGGTAGAAACTCTAGGGCTGAAATCCCACCCCAAATGCAGGCCTATGTCCTGTCTCCAGGCTTTGCAGTCCCATGAGCACGTTGCTGGCTCTGTTTTTGTAGGCTTGTACCCAAGGTCTGCAGGCTGCCTGTCCAGGCAGGTGTTCCATCAGTGTGGCAGGAGCAGGATTGTCGCTGCATGGGGCTCAGCACAGCCCACCAGACTTGGCACTTGCTCTTCTGCCCTTCCCCCGGGACTCGGCCCTTCTCCCCCTCCCTAGTCCAGGCTCTTCCTGTCTCAATGCTGGGAAGGCTGGTGGATCTGCTGGGCAGAGATAAGAGCACTCTTTTGAGCAGCAGCTCCTGTCTTGTTCTTGCTTCCTGCAGTATTTTTAACTCTAGCCCAGCCAGAGCAGAGCCCTGGAGTGTGATGTGTGTGCCTGACAGGGCAGGGCTCGCCAGCAACACTGCCACGCTCGCAGGAATCAGGGCTGTTGGAGGGAGAGACACTTGGCTCTTCCCTCTGACTCCAGGGAGTGCTCCCATGGGCTGGACCCTTCTGCTCCTTGGCTGATTCCTCTATCCCCTTTCCCCTTTTGTATCTGCTCCTCCATCTCTGGATTTCTCCAGTGGATCTCCCTGGGTAGGAAGTGTTGGCCAGGAATAGCCAGGCCCTAAATTCTTTTATTAGGCACTGCCTTTGTCTGATTCCTCCAGGGGGCTTTAGAATCCTGGTCAGGGCTTGTCCAGTGGTGAGTAGGTTGGCTGGTTCCAGTTATTCACTGTACAGAGCCTGTGCTTAGCCCTGGGCTGCGGGGCAGGGGAGAGGCACCCTGTGGAAGGACAGAGTGAGGGCAGAAGCCCTTTGGCAGAACTGTGCAAGCTGGGCAAGAGCAGTGTCCAACTCTGTTGGTTGTTTTCATTCTCCCCTATTTTGGGCTCAAAAGTGGCAGTGCCAGCCTAGGAGAGCAGAAGGATTCAGCTTGGCTTCAATAACATGCAGGACCAAGGTGCCTAAGGAGGAAACAAAGCTTTCTTTGTGCAGTGTGCTCACTTGAGCAGTGGAGTGGCTGGGAACCTTCCTCCCAGGTTTTCTGGAGCTGGTTTGCTTTTAGCCAAAGCTGTGGGTCTGCTGAGTTCTCAGCTTTCTGTGCTGGTGTAACAGGGAACACCTTGAAGAACCTGTCCCCTCTTTTCTTCCCTAGTCTTGTTAGTGAGGAGGATGTGCTGTTGCAGATGAGCCCTGTCCAGCTGGAGATGTTCCTCCCTCAAACACATTTATTCCTAGAAGATAAAGGAGACTCTTTCCCTTTAGCAAGGACATAGAGCAGCTGCCAGCTCTTGCTCTGGGCTGTGCACAGAGGTGCTGTGTGCTGGTGAGAGCACAGGTACACTGGTCCCAGGCAGACAGGGTTGCTGAGGGTGGATTGGCCCTGTCCCTCTGGGTGAGGAAGTCTCCATCAGCTCAGTGCACGTGGCTCCTACATCAAGTTGATAGTCACAAGTCTGTCCTCTACAGAGAGCTGAAGTCTTTGGCTACCAGCTGGCAAAGATGGTTCAAGTTGCATTTAGGAAAAAACAGCCAGGAGTGGGGCACCAGAGCTGGTTCTGCAGAGGCAGCAATACCACTGAAATCACATCTCCCTGTAGGAGGCTCCCTGCAGTGCCAGAGGTTGAGGGCTGCTTGGAAAGGGATTAGAGACTGATTTTGGGGGGCTCCGGGGAGGTGCCTGGAAGGTGGCATGTGTTTATCAAAGGGTACTGTGGCATCAGGTCACACAGTAAGCAAAGAGACTCCTGAGCACGTGTAGCTTGGCCATTTGGCTCTGGCAGCCAGAAGTGTGGATAGGAGAGTAATTTAACAGCTCCCCTCACCAACCCTGCACAGCCTCATCTGCCATCCTGCACCCCAGGCACATTCCCATGCTCTGCCAGCTTTGTCCTGCCTGAGTGGCTGCAGGGACAGTGTCCTTCTCCCCAGGGACGGTGTCCTTCTCTCCAGGGCAGTGTCCCTCTCTCCAGGGCAGTGTCCCTCTCCCCAGGGATGATGTCCCTCTCTCCAGGGCAGTGTCCCTCTCTCCAGGGCAGTGTCCTTCTCTCCAGGGCAGTGTCCCTCTCCCCAGGGATGATGTCCCTCTCCCCAGGGCAGTGTCCCTCTCCCCAGGGATGATGTCCCTCTCCCCAGGGCAGTGTCCCTCTCCCCAGGGGGCTGTCAGTCCATCTTGCCCCTGTGCCTGCCGGGATGGAGGCACGGCATGACGTCCTTGTGTGCTGCTGCTGTGCTGGTCCTGCTGTGCAGTCCTTGCAGCCTCCCTGCATGCTCCTCTCCAGGGAGGGGATCCCACTGCTCGTGCTCTGCGTTCCCTGCTCCTCCTCCCAAACTCTGCTGTGCTGTACTGCTGGCTTGCTCCTGCCATGCACCTTCCTCACCCCCTGCTCCATTCCTAGGCTCTTTGTTTCCTCCTCATCTCTTGGGTTATTATAATTATATTTTTTTGTAAATTTCTGTTTGAACATTTTGTCATTGTGAACAAAGAAAAATGAAACCTTTTAAAACATATCCATTTTATTAAATGATTATTGTTATTATTATTAATGTTTACTACCTGAATTGATCAGTGGAATAAATACATTCAAAAACCCAACCTCTTTCTGTTTAATTTTCAGCCCTCTTCAGCAGCACTGGTGATACACTGTGGGCAGGAGAGAGCAAAACTCCTCCTGTTTCTCTTTTATCTAATTCTGTCAGAACAGGCTCCAGGCAGGACTTCCTGCATGGGATTTCTGGCCGTTGGTGCCAGAAGCTAGCAAGCTGATGCTCAAGTTCTTCTGTCTTCAGGCTTCCCTTAGGAGTGGTGTGTAAATCAGCAGTGGGCAGCTGGGCAGGATGCAGCCCAGGAAATGCAGTTTGTAAGTAGCCAGAGGAGTGTTGCCAAGTGTGTGCATGCAGAGCCACAGTGGGCCTGGCTCTGGATCAGCTCCGTGCCTGCCTGGCCTGAACACCTGCTGGAATAAACGCAGCACCAAATGCACGAGACGAGGTAGGTTTGTTTAGCAAACTTAACCTGTAGTAGCTGAGCTGCTCCCAAGTGGAAAGCGTGCCCTGCAGGAAGAACTAAGTTGGTTTGTTGGCCTAAGATCTCTCTCCCACTCTGCCTGCCCACCACAGCGAAATGATCTGCCCCAACTTCATAGAAATTTAAAGCTTAATTTTCTTCAGAGCATCAAAAATTTTCCCTGGGGCCAAATCCTGCCACTGTTTGCAGCCTCAGTTGTCCTCAACATGAGCACGTTCAGGGCGTTCATCCTTTCTGCTCTGTGTGATGTGCACAGCACAAGGTAACAGCGTCGTGCTCAGCGGGGCAGCAGTTCCACAGCGTAATTCTGGTGGCCTTAGCCCAAGGAGCACAGTGAATGCCTGCTCAGGCTGGTGGCACAAAACTGTCTGTGGAGGTGTGATGGCCATGAGAACACGAGGTTCTACCTAAATGTATTTTGACCCTTGGACTTACCCGTTTGAGTGTTTGTGTAATGCAGCCTCAGAATAATGCGTGTGGTCGGTCTGTCTCATTTCTATCAGCAGATCTTACACTACCAAGTAGGAGTAGATTTGTGTCCCTGTTTCAAGGGAAACCTGAGGGTCAGCACCTGGAAAAGTGCTAGTTCTCATCCCTTTGCCAAGTGCAGTTTTCCTGATGAGATGGGAAGCCAAAGGCCACGGAGCTCAGGGAGTGTGGTACAAACCAGCCACCTTCCAGGTTGAGGTGCACTCTGGGTTACTGTGCCGGGCCCAGAATCAGTCATCAGGGCTGGCAGCATCGCTCTCAGCACACGTGGGCACTGCCAGCTCCTGTTTCTTGGAAGAGTTGCTCAGTGAAGGATGGTTCCGCTGACACGCAGCAGACCTGGGGAAGGGCTCGTGTGGGAGGCCCCTGGGCTGAGCCTGGCCCTTATCTGGCCAGCCAGCTGCGAGGGCATTATCTGGGAGCTCAGCTGTGCGCTGCTCACACTCCTGCACTGGCTGGGCTGCCTGAGGACCTTCCTCTTGCGTTGGAAAGCCAGCGGGAAAGCAAGCATTGTACTCCTCTGGTAAGTCCACAGTTACCTTTGGGTTTTTTCTCGTTTGGCTGGCAGCACAGCAAAGCACTGCCTTGCTGCAGATGGGTGTAGTTGTTCTGCAGAATTACAGCAGCTCACGTTCATCAGTGGCACGAGGCTAATGAAAAGACAGCCCATTGACCCACATCTTCCAGCACAGCCACAGCTCCAGAAGGAGATTATTCACCTGCTGGAGCAGCGTCTACTGTGGAAAACTCCACTGGCCTCCACCCTCAGTGATCAGTGCCCTTTCTGTGGCCTAGGACTGTTCATCACTTCTTTCCAAAACTGGAAAGGCTATTTTTGGCTCTAGGTAACAGTAGATTTATTTCTGAATCTCCTCTTGCAGTTTGCATGAACTAAACTTTGCTTACAGGTGTAATTCAGAGCTATGATAAGGCATGAGCTGTTTCACATTTTAGTTTCTGATTCCTTGACAGAAATTTTATTGGCTGCTCTAGTAATTCACCTCCACTAATGCTGAAAATACAAGCAGCTCTTGTACACTTGGGAGGACTAGTGAAAACATATTTGGTGGCTGCAGCCGAGCTTCCCAGTAGCTGTGTGTTCATATCCCTCCTCAAATACAGGGTTGGAAGACCGGGAACATTCCCTCTCCTGTGAAGAGAGACCAAGATTTTGCACATCTCTTTTACCTTTGTCCTTTTCAGAGTTCTCACACTCCTGTGAAGGACACCAAATTCCCCCACCTTTGGGAACTCATCCTCAGAACAAGCCAACAAAGGCCCCGGGGCTGTGGTGTCAGTCCTGGAGCGTGTGGTGTCTGCTTGCCTGGTCTCACCTCATTCAGTCTCACCGGGGAAGTGTTTGCAGGTGAAGATGAACAGGGGAATTGTCTTCTTGTCCCTGCTTGGCTTCCTCCCGCTCGTGATACCCACCTGCCCTGTGCCATGCCATTGTACCAGCACCATCATTGACTGCACCTCAAAAGACCTCACTGTAGCAAACCTGCCCGTGGCTTTCCGTCCTTCAGCTGAGATTATCCACCTCGGTTACAACAGGCTCACCTCTATTCCCAATGGGCTCTTTGACAACCTGAACAGCCTCCAGGTAGTCTACCTGCAGGGCAACCCTTGGGAATGCACCTGTGACATCCTCTACCTGCGCTCCTGGCTGCAGTGGCAGCAGAACCGGACGCTGTACAGGGATGTGAGGTGCAGCTCCCCGGCACACCTGCAGGACCGGGTCATTGCCTACCTCACAGAGGACGAGGTCAACTCCACGTGCCAGTACTGGTACTGCAGCCTGGCTCTCCTCTCTCAGCTCTGTCTCTTCATCCTCCTTTTCCTCCAGGGTATCTTGGTTATCTTCATCATTGTTTACCTGCAGAAATTTCGGAGAATGACCGCTGAAGCCCGGAGCACCACCCGAGATCTGCACCAGCAGGCTGACCCTTGGGTATCTTCTTCCAGAAACCCCTACAATAATGATTAACATCACAAGACTAAGACCCTCCTCTTGAAGGATGATGTGCCAAGCTCCCGTGGTTTGTGATACCCAGAGCAGACATCTGATCCTGACTGCAGTCCAAAGCAGGACTTGAACTGATTAGACACTTGCCTGTGTTCCTAAAGAACCAGTCCTGTGGGGTTTTTAATGCTTTGAACTCTTTAGCATGATCTTGATTGCTTTGCTGAGCTGGAAGTGGCTCTGGTTTGGTAGATAAATCAAATCATAAACTCCAGTGACCAGAAGTGACTCGAATGGCTGACAAGCTCCTAAAGGCTACAGAGCTTGATCCCTCCTATGCTACAATATTTCAGCCACACTTCCCACGATGCTTCTGCTTGTGTTGGGTCAGGTGAGGACAGAGGTGGGCAGGGAACAGTTAAGATACCCAACTAAGACAATGGAGAAATACAGTTTCCTCGTGTTGCTTGATGCATCTTTTCCAGTGTTCTTCCGAGGGAGGGAGGGAATGTTTAGAAGCCCACCTGTTTTATCCTGTCTGCATTCCTTTTAATCTACTTACAGTTTTAATAGTGATTTCAGCCGAGTGAGACTGGGGCCCTGAATGCTTTGGAGACACTCATCCTGAAGCCAACAGTTGTTGAGACCAGTGTCTCGCTCTGGCTGTGCCTGTAACAGCGCTTGGCACGAGAGATCCACTCTTCAGAAGACTCAAACCGCAAACCCCACCGCTGGTTACGGCGTCCCTTTGAAACGAAGCAAAAAAAAAAAATGAAATAAAGCAATGATGCCTGTTGATGTAAATAGCTTATTTTTCCCTATCCTGCGCTGGGTATCTTGGGGAGTTCCTCCACACTCAGACTGTGCCAGGCAATCAAACCCTTGTGGGGGGGGGGGACACAGGTGGAGCTGCTGATGTTAAGTGCACTGCAGGGTTAAGCTTTGGCAGCTGGGAAACGGGGAGGTTTTTTTTTTTTTTCCCCCGAGGGCTTTCTGAGGGGCTGCTTACCCGGTTTATGATGCCCCATTCCCTCAGCCTCCAACCCTCCCGTGAGGGGCGAGGCCGGGAGGGGCCGTGAGGGGCGAGGCCGGGAAGGGCCGTGAGGGCCCGCGAGAGGCCGCGAGGGCCCATGAGGGCCCTCGCGGCCTCTCGCGGGCCCTCACGGCCCCTCGCCGGGGCTTTCTGAGGGTAAAAGTCAGTCCGGTGGTGCCTCTGTGCCTCGGCCGGGGGCCGTGAGGGCACCACAGCCCCAGGTTGTGCCGCCAGAGCCCCCCGCACGTGCTCGGGCCGGGCGGAGCCCTCCGTGAGGGGACGCGCGGTCCTTCCCCTTCCGTGAGGGGACGCGGTCCCTCCTGGGCGGCGGGTGTCGACGAGGGACCACCTTCCTCAAGGCTGTGAGTGTTGTGAGGTGAGTGATAACGGGGGGGGGGCTCGCTCCCGTCTTTTTGGGGGTTTCTCCTTCTGCCCTTCCCTTGCTCTGCCCCCCCGTCCCTGCCGCGCTCCATCGACCCCCCTGGCGGTGCTGGCCTGAGTAGTGGCACTGGCGCTCGAGAAAATGAGGTCCCAGCGGGGGTTTTTCGTTTGAGGTTTGCACCTTGCTGGACTTCGGACGGTGCATGGGTATCCCCGTCCAGCGTGCCCGTGATCTGTGAGGGGGGGACACGGCTCCACCGAGAGCCTGCTCTGTGGAGGGGCCCACGTGGCTGCTCCGTGAGGCCCCCGGCATTCTCAAATCCCTGATTTTTAAGTACTGTTGTTCGGTTGGTTTTTTTTATTTTTTTTTTTTTTTCCCTCCTGAGGAACAACCTTTCCATAGGAATGGAAAGCCAGTTTTCTGGCTTGTTCCTCCCCCATTGTCCTTTTTCCCAGAATCAAGATGCAGCATTATGAGGGAGTAGCACAAACCGTGTCTTCCCTTCACCCCTTCCTTCTTATTCCTTTGGGTCAATTATACTGTTATTTT